ATTAGAACTGATAAATCATCAGGTAAAAACATAGAATAAATAAAACACAATATAAATTGCGATCAACGTGTTGTTTCAACACTCTGAACACTAGAATATGACACTTACTCTAATGATATTCTATCGTAAAAGTACATCAACATACACACACAGCTGAAACAACTACAATTATTATAGATACATACATATGTGATACTTTCATGATAGAGATTGAGTGTAATTTTACTTACATGATGGGAAAGGGAATTCTTGAGGGTTTCTGTAAATGATCAAATCAGCATATTAATATGTTTTGCACTAACTTGCAAAGCTTTCTGTGCTTTCATTTTTCAGACAACTCAGCTCCAGGTTGGCTTTAAAAATAGTTTCCTGTAGAGGAGACCGAAGAACCACAAGTTTTCTGTACCAGCGTCTCAGTGCAGGCAACACCAGTGGAGCCGTTTCCGGCGTAAACTATCGCACACATTCACTTTTTGAAGGGGTTTGAGTACTGTTCATCATGCTTGGAAATAATATCATATTAGGATTAAATTATCCACATCTAAATAGATTATTCGATGAGAACTTTTGAAACTGTTCATAACAATAAATAAGCAGAACCAAGAAGTCTTGAAGGTGACACCATTAGACTAAATTAGTTTTTCAAATGTAATTTTGCAAACTGTGTTTAAAGCAATTTCAGCAACAATTAAGGTTCTTGTGTGGTATTAACAGCAAAAGTTAGATAATGGTGGCATGAAATTACTTTGTTACACTTCACTATTAAAGCTTGCTGAACACTGATTTAATGCTGCTTCTAGAGGTAAAATCCTACCCTCGATGGACGACCGCGAAGTTATTCAGTAAGACTTTCCGTGTCTCCTGGGCACTTACACTCAGGTCCTCGTCTTGAAGGATCTCTCCTACAAACAGCTCACAGTCTGAAGAGAACAGAAAAACACTGTATACATGGCATTCGTGAAGGCGCAATGCTGAAAGATTACACGGAATAATACACTGAATAATACTTGATTTGATCAAGGTTATAAAGTTTAAGAACGATAGAAACCTAATTATTTGCTCAAATAATGTACTATAATAAAATCCTTTTGTCAATCTTTCCTTGTTATGTTTCAGAGTCACTTAACATTATGACCCCAGTATAAAACTCAAAATGTATAAGTCTGAAAAGATAATCACTTTCTCGATTTACTTTATACTCATTCAGCAAATGGACAGAACAATATAATGAATTTTAACATTTAGGTAAAAAAAAACATGTTTTTTTTTTTATATTCAGAGGTGGCATTGGGCTATAGTTTATAATAGCCATCATTGGTTGGTAGAAATAAATCCAAATTGGCATTAATGAGGAAACAACTTGTGTTTGTGTCTCATTTTACCAGCCATGTTCAGGAGAGGACTTCACCAGGAGGAGAACTTGCAGTGGCTACAGAAGATGGGCCTTTAGTCAGCGGCTGTAGCAACTCAAATGCAGTCAACACATACCCCAGTCCAGGAGTCCCCTCAGCCTGATGCTGTTGGGCCTGACCTGTTTACCAGGCAGGGCAGTTCCCAGGAGAAAACCCCTGGCGCTGGGGTTTGTACTGGTCGAATTCAAGTAGCTACAACAGCTAAATTAAGGTTTGTCTAGCAGAACTGATGCTTACTCTTCTGCCAGTAAAGTTTAGTGTCAGGGAGGAAGAAAAAAATATACAACTAGTTTTTATAGTTTCTACAGACATGCATTTCATCCAATAAACAAACAAAAATACATTGACTTCCTTGACTTAACATCAGCACTGTAACCTCTTCACATTCTGATGCATGTGAAGAAATGTTTGAATTAATGCATACAACACATTGTACCTTTTAATCCACATCAACAATTGGGTTGCGGTCGAATTGTCAGTTTAGTTTAGGAACCTTCCTAACGGAGTGAAATGACCCGGAAGTCCCTCAGTGGCAGCCATGATAAGAGCTGTTCTAATTCTCTAGATGATAGGAAAGGAGATTTGAAACTTCCTTTATAACCTCCTTTAGCTTAGGAAACACTGGACCTTCCTTTACGAAGAAAATCAGAAAATGCTGCCCCACAATGCCTTGCGGCCGCAACATTTACCGTGGCACACCATTCGGCAGTTCACGGAAACAACCGATTATAACCGAGAAATGCGTATATTGAAAGTTACGGTGCTTATTAAGCCATTTAAAACTTACGTGGTAACTTGCCAAAGCGCTTTGTTTTGAATGTTCAACACTATAATAATCAAAAGGACGAATATGAACGTTTGTATTTATTTTAAGATCTTTTCATACAAATCATACGTATTGGGATTCATATGTTCGGACCGGAGGGTGAGGGTGACAAACATAAGTTTCACTTCACTTTTGTATTTCAATTCGAACCCTGGTCATGAAGAATATACTGTATATGTTTCTCTGTTGTCCACGTTCATAAAGCATAAAACAACACCATAAGAGCACCGTGCAAAGTGTTCTAAATGTGTTTACAGTGGTCCGCCGTTCTTATTATACATCCATGTAGTCCGCTGTATAAAAAAATGTACTTTCCCCACAGCAGACATACATTTATGACATCCGCTGGCGCCTCATAAATACGTTGGATAGTGAAAGTGCAGTCCGATTCTCAAAGCACTGCAGTCTCTTTTCCTAAGTCTTTTTGAATTCTCCTATCCACTATCCCTTAACCCCGTGACGTTTCACACAGAGGTCAAGGAATAGTGGATAGGGAAAGACGATAGGAGCTGATTTTTGGACTATTCGACTGCAACCCAAGTCTCATTTTACAAAGATTACAGCTTAATGTTTTTAAGTCTACTGCCTTTACTGTTGGGAAACTCACAATGGCAGTCTCACTGATGCAAATAAATGAAATAGAGTAGTAATATTACCCAGTAAAACATGACGTTTGTACCTCAGGTCAGCCTACATTACTTATCTGATACAATATCTTTGTGTTCTCTCATGTAAAACAAACGGACTGACATAATGCAAATTATGGTCTTCCAAAGGGCCTGTTTGCCTGCCTGGCAGTATATGCAAATGTATGGTTTAAAGTCTGTCTAAAGTATGTTCTAGTTTTTTTCTACTTTCACTTTTAAGATTTTATATAAGCAACAAAACATAGACTGAATAGAAAGTATTTTTTTAGGTTGACTTCGCTTAAATGTGTGCGTTTTCAAAAGCAGTAGAATCAAATTATTTAAATGTAATAATCTAAAGTGAAAGTATTCCCGAGTTTGCTAATTATTTTCTAAAGACAAAACGGTACTGTTAAAAAAGCATTGTTGACGGTAAGAAGGAAAAAAAAAAGACATTACCATCCAAAAGCCTCCTAATGTCATTTGGGATTGTCCCCATCCTTGGCTTTCACCTGTCCAACTTCAGGCACTTTGGTATGTTGACTTTTCAGACCTTTTCCACCCGTTCACACTTTAGGTTTTCCTCCACAAAGCAGCCTCTGTCATACTGTTACAGCTTGATGACAGACAATAACCTGGCACAGCCTAGCATCAAACCACCTGTGTCCTCTTGTACTGAAACCTAACTTCCGTGCATGCATCTAGATTTGCACAAAATGGGGAGGAGCAGGTGCACAGATGACAACTTCCTCTGCACTCTGGTTTTTCAGTTGAGGCTTATGACAAGGTTTGACTCACACTGAGAAACCACTTTCGTCTTACCCACAAATGTCTGTCGAAAAGAAAGCCTAAGTAGAGGCTGATTTCTTGTACATTGGATACATTTAGCAGCATCAAAGCATAACATTCTTTTGATTCAGATGAGAGCAAACATCTTCAGCGGTCAAAAGAACAACACAATAACGATTATTAAAACAGTAGGCAATTAATTTACAGTCAATAAGCTTTTTTTTAAAATGTGTAGACTAATCAACTTATCATCATTATCATTGCAGCTCTAGTCCTGTTACAAATAGAAGTGCTGGACATAATGCAAAATGTCCATCCTACCCTCAACCAAATGAACGTCCTCACATGTCTAGAACGGCAAGAATCTCGAAGTATCCATAAGCAAGAGAATCCCTGCCTGCCAGCACCAGATATGCTGCTCTGTTGCTGATCTTTGGTAGCCTGACTTCCCCTTCAAAAGGATGACACCAAACAGACAATTTCACCACGGGGATCAATATAGAGCCGCACTTTATTGAAAACAAAACTACAATACATAAGACGGCCCTTATGTGATTCTGCATTTAACAATATAGTATTTCAAACTTAAAACCTGTTGAATTATAAATATATTAATACTACTCCAGCACAACAGACACTGGTGTATTGAACAAATCATTTAACAAGACTTTTACATCAAGCAATAGTCAACTGTTGTTTCTGCCTTGAATATTGACATATCAAAGGCCCCTGATACAGTTATATTTTGGTGAGGTCCTCCTGTGTGTTTTTTAGCCCTAAAAACCATAGGCCAGTATTTTTTGTATATGCATATTTAAGCCTCTCAAAGTGACAAAAGTAATATTCTACAGGCACAACCAATTCCCCTCATATTGGTTAGCTATTAGTATTAGTGTAAATACTATATAAAATCCAAAAAGTATCAATTAATTAATGTGGTCATGACTCTAATGTTGCAGGGTGATTGTGCAGCTCACACATAGCACAATGCTAAAATACATATTGTATTAGCTCATTGTAATCGTATTGAACTAATAACGTTAAGGGAGTAAAAAGTAAAATATTGGCTTCCAAAATTAAGTGGAGTACAAGTAGCTTACAATTTAGCATAAATGGAAATATCGTTACTCTGCTAACAATACTAGCCACTAGCCACTTTAGCTGACATTAGCATCAGCATCAGCGTTGAGAGCCGAGCTGTCACACTGCCACTCACCTGCTAGTTAGCTACGGCCGCTTTCCTCAAAGTGTCAGTTCACGACATATTTTCTTATTTCAGGTAAATAACGTTGCATTACATTATTGTAACTTTGCTTTGTATGTTTTGTGTAAGTGAAAGTGTTGACCCGAGCATGTCTACTAATGTTTTAGCGTTGAGCTAACTTGAAGCTAGCGTGTGTTTACCTTTACTTGCTCCAACTTGGAGCTTTGCCTGGGCTGTAGCAGCCGACTTTCCCCTTTAGCAGCATTATTCAAGAGTAAACTCATATAGTTAACACGTAACATGGTGTGTTACCGTCTGGCTTGAATGAAAGTGCCATGGTTGACTTTTATAGTCAATATATGATATTATAGTGGTTTCACCAGCATGTAACATTACACTAGCAAGCATTCAATACGTATTTTCACGAGTTTCACTTACACTTAGGACTACCATGTTTTTCCTTTGAACACGAAGGTGAGTTTTAAATATGTTTCCAAAGCTGTTTTTATTTTAATATGGCTAATTTGTGTGTAGGCTGACCTACGCTGCTTTCTAACTACTAAGCACTTACTATCTTAGCAGGTGTTTTTGTTCATTGAAATTGTGGTGCATTCAAGTGACCTTTCGCTGTCAAAGATAGAGAGAAAGAGAGAGAGAGCAAGCGCATTTCGTGGTATCTGCAAGCAGTGGCAGATACTTCCTGTGGCAGCTGCAGATGCCACCAATGTTGTACAATTGGTTATAAGACATGTTTTAACTTTCACTGTTTCAATTATACAAATCACTACTTTAATTGTTCTTTGATTCAAGCTGGCAAACTAATGAGGGTATTTCTGACAACATGTGAATGCAGCATCACATAAATTACTCCCTCACACTCCCTTACTCCCTCTGACAGGGCATGGATGAATGGTTTATATTACCACTAGAGGGTGAACAGCAATGGAACAGACTGGACTGGGCTTCAGAGGAGGGATTGGGGATAGTTGTAATACTAAAAGAAATAGTGGTGAGTCTGACCATCGCCTTATTGATCGTGTATTACTGAAACACAACAAGGAAAGCCATCAAGGAGCTGAAGCTCAATCAGACACTGCTCACATCGACAGAATGCACCGGATATCAGTCAAGGCTATGTTGAACTAATGTGTATTGAAGCTCAAAAGATAATTATTTAATATCCCAAGCAACATATACATACACAACATTAATTGCTATTTCACAGACTAACAAGTAAAATAAATGGGTTTAATACAACCTTTCCCAGCACATCTAAATTGCAAAATAATTATAGTCAGTGTTTATGGATAATTTACATTTTGGTTGTGTTTTTTTAAAACATTATTTTTACAGTAATTGACACAGAAAATTAATTATTAGAAATGTTGAAAGTCATGCTGAAGGTATTTTTTTCTTATCATCCAATTTGATTATTTGGCCCATGTCCTAAGAGTAAATACTGTATGATAAGAAAATCCACATTTCTCATGAACTACCTACTTAGGAGCAAAACCTCATATTTGGTTTCCATGAACTGATGACAAGTTGAATATTAAAGAAATACAACATTGTTAAGGAAAAAATCATATTGAAAGAAGATTAATTGACACAATGGTTCCTAATTTTAGAAAAATCATGACTTTGACTAATGTTAAAAGTGTGATGTTCATGTGATATTGAATGTCAGTTACATTTGTATTGTTGGATGCGCCCCCAAATCTGATTTGTACCTGTTGAACAAATGTGTGGCATTTTTTACTTCATAATAATCATACTAAATATATTCTTTGGGCACTAAAATGCTGGAATGTTTTTAAATGCTTCTGCACTAAAATAAAAGTATATTTTCACATGTAGAAACTGCAGTAGTGGCAGAATTTTCTTTTTGATTGCATTTGACAAGTATTTTATGTTGATAAGCTTGATATTTCATGATGGTCTCCTTGCCTGTCACTTCTCTACAGGAAGCCACGGGTTCAGAGCAAGTTGAATCCCATGTCAGAATTGTCCCCACGCTGACCTGCGCCTGACTGGCCTCCCAGCAAAAAGCCCCTGTGAAGGTAAGAGGAACTGGGGTCCCCTCCCCTGGAAAAGAGGTTCCCTCCCCTTGACAGCTCCACAGAGCCCCAGCCACCTGCCTGCTGGGTCAGCCCCATATGAAAAGGGAAGCTCTTTGTAATCCGACGGGGATTACACCATCCAACAATGCACCGCTGAAAGAGCGACAAAAGCCCTGTATCAAACGCAGCTGAGGGGGAGCAAGGCTATGATCTCCCGCTACTACCAACACTGACTCCTCCGCCACCTCTCATCTCCCCAAGAGGCTCTTCCCCCCTTTAGCATTTGGCTGCCTCTGTCCTCCTTCTGCCCTCTCATCTTTAGGATCTGGCCTTTTATCAGTGAATTCCTTTTCATTTGCATTGCAGTGTGGGGAGGGACAGCGGGTCTCTCTGATCTGATAGAGCCAGGAGAGAGAGTCAGGAGGATCCTCAGGGCATGAAGTGTGTGTGTGTGTGTGTGTGTGTGTGTGTGTGTGTGTGTGTGTGTGTGTGTGTATTTTCCCCATAAGGCAAGACCCGCCCAACTCTGTCTCTGATTGGCTTACCCTGAAATGTTACCCCGCGTTAACCAATCATCACTCCTCTCTGGTTACTTTCACTTTTATATGGTGCTGTGAGAGGACATCGCTGTATTCGCCTGTAAGTTACATCCGCAGGGAGATTCGGTTCAGTTCCATCCCATAATGTAACGCAGTAACGCACCCATTTAAATCACAGTAACTATAACGGCGTTACTTAATGGGAATAGGTAACTAGTAACGCTATTAGTTACCGCAAAAAGTAGTTGCGTTACAGTAACGCGTTAGTCCCAACACTGGTGATAACTAAGGATGTTCTCTTAAGTTGTATGGCTTGTGAATTAATGTTTAAGTAATTTATTAACTACATGGGAGTCTCTTTGAAGAGGGTAATACTAATTTAAAAGATCTTAATGACCCTTGATATTGTC